AGGAAAAAGTTGGTCCAGCTAAAAAGGTTATCCACACAACTAACCTTAAGCTTACAAATTGGAGTTAAAACTCCATCGAAATATCTCCTGTTTCTTTCATTCCAAATAGCCCAAAAAAATACAAGCTGGGGTCATGATCCAGATTTTTCTGATGGATTTTCTAACCTCTATAGACCTCCAAACTAGTGTAGGCATCTCTAATATTGAAGGGCATGGACCAACTTCTACCAAAAAGTGCTAGAAACATGTTACAAACGTATGTTGCAAAAGGGCATTTGAAGCCTAAGGTTGTTGATGCTTTCTGAAGTTGACTGACATATGTAACACCTATTGACCAGTTGAAATCTTCTTCTCATAAGGTTGTATAGAGCGAGGCATTCTTCTTTGAAGGCTGTCCAAGTAAAACACGACACTTAAGGGGGGAGTTCAGTATTCCAGACTGAAATTTTACTGCCTCCGCTTTCACTGGATAACCTTAAACAGTCATGGCCTCGAAACTTATTCCAGGATCCCATACACAAAGATTCGATGTAGTTGCAGGAATGGGTACCATAAAGAAATTAGCTCCAGGATGAAAGGAAAATTGACTCAATTATACTGATTGTTGAATCTCCCAGTAGGAGGAATGGCAATCTTATTCTCCAAAAAGAGTTTATCAAGATATAGAGCTGCAAAAAACATCTTCCCATAGTTAACTCTTTGCCAATCAATTCACCACTATCTACCCGTCACTCTGCACAACAGATGTAGAGGGTTGCAAAGCCCTTAAAAGAAATCGCCCCTGATCCCATTATCTGAACCAAACAAGTGACACCACCAAGAGGAAAATCCAGAACATTGCAGCTCTTGTAATCACATAAATAAGACAAAAAAAATCCCGAAAGAATGCGCTATTGTCCAGTATCAACCCAATTGCATTTCTGTAATCGAAAGCCAAGGCAGTGATACTCTATTTTGGTTACCCAAACAAAATTCGCTAAGTGAAATATGCAACTATGGAAATAAGTGGAGCATAAGGCGCCATCAAATGAAAATTCCATTTTCACCAATCTCCAAAACACATTCAACACGAAATACCCTTGGCTAGCAAGAACAACCGGATAACCAGATTCATCTTTTAAAGGAGAAATGCCAACAACCTGAGCTACAGTGTTTCCTGTATTTCCCTCATCCTCATGTTTAGAATCAATCGATGGATTTGCTATCAGATTGTAACCAGTTGAAACCACTAAGGAAGTAATGGGTGAATTACCAACAGTTTGTCAAATGACGCAACAATCACTTTGGTTTGCAAGGTCTCATAGTGAGAATGGAGACACTGCTGTTGTGGGAGTTGTCCGCATTGACCATGTCATCAACAATGTCTTCTGAATTTGTCCCATTAGCGTTTTGGGCTTGCTGGTGTAACTGAAGAATTGTCCTACAAAACTCCATTAGGAATTCCATCGAACATGGGAGCTGCCTCTGAGTTTCCATCTTTTGAATCATAGCTTCGTCGCATTTATGGTTATCTCATTTCTATATGGAGGATGTTCTTCTGTCCTCACTGTAGAAGCTGATAAGCTATAATTGATATGCTTGTCGTATGAGACAAACCAAAGGAAAAGGTGGGGACTGGGAAGGGCGGGCTGTTAAAATTGTTAGTTAGCTACTTTCTTTTGAGTGATTAACTTTTTATCTCCTCATACTATCCATGTTGAAACAGCCCTAAGCAGCTTCTATATTTTACAGAAATCAATCCCAACTGCCAGTTCACCACAAACTTACAAAATTGTACATTTTAGATGAAAACTATTCAGCCCACTATGTTGAAAGAGTAGCATCTAATACAATGTCATTGAAATCTATAAAACAACAACTACTGAAATCCCTCTGTCTCCTCAGTGGATCCCTCGTTACTGCCCAGAGGTTTCGATTGAAGGATTCCTAAACTGGTGAAAACATAACTAACTTAACATTAATATGTAAAGTAGATAGATTGAAATCACAGAATTACAGAGCAGTCTTATCAAAATATCACATTTAGCCTAGAAACAGAAAATTGCTTTTTAAATAAGAAGAAACAAGAAGAAGAAACTCACGTATTTCCACCTTTCTCACTGACCCGATTGCCAAACTGAATGTGGTAGCCAGCGAAGAGGCCACGCTGAGCACGACCCATGACGACTTTTGCATTTGGTACGCATTTCTCAAGCCGTTGTTTAACTCCAGATGCCAAAGTTCTTCTCTCCACCTATATTCTTCACTATCTTTTTCATCATTTCCTTGGATCTGAATGCCATTTCTTCTCAAGAATTTTGATGAAATTTGAGGTTTAGGGTTTAAGAGCTGAAATTAGAGGAGAGTTAAAAATTATAGTATGCACTAGATGTAATATGTCCACAAATTAAGGGCCCGTTTGGATGGGTTTAATAAAAATAGCTTTTAAAAAAATATTTTGAAAGTGTTGAAAGTTTATTTTTAAAATAAGCACTTATGCGTTTGGATGAAAGTGTTGAAGTTGTTATGCCAAACATGAAAAGGGAAAAATAAAAGAAAGAGATGTTAGGGTTATATGGGTAATTTGGAGATTGTATAAAAATATTAAGGGAAAAAACATAAAAATGTGGTCAACTTAAAACAGGTTATAAGCTAAAAAAAAACACCCCTACCCCAACTTTTAACTTTTGGCTTAAAATAAGTTTTTTTAACTTAAAATAAGTTATTTTGAGTATTGCCAAACAGTTAAATAAGTCAAAAACCAGCTTTTAAGTCAGTTTGACCAGCTTTTAAGCTGAGCCAAACAGGCTCTAAATCTAATGTATTAGTACAATTGATCTAGCGGTTAAATTTAAACAGGAACAACTTAAAATTGGCAAAATCATATATTATTATAAGAGGAACCAAAAAAGTTAAAAATTGAATTACGACTTTACTGTTATTATAAATTAAAATGTTATAAACATATTTAACTATTTAATTTAAATATTAAATTACATTATTTTATTAAAAATGTTAATGACTTTTACACTTCTTTAGAATAATTCTTAATTAAAATATCTAATTTAATTTATTTTCTTTAAACTTTTTACCCTTTAAATAGATACATGTATATGGTTTATCTTCGAAATTAATTTTATGTTCTTAATTTATATTTTTCTTTAATTTTTGTAACACTTGACCTTTCAACTTTGTAAGCGAATCTTCATATTCCAAAGCTATATTTTTTTCTATAAATACAAATCTTTTAACATTAAAGATTCATATGTGATATAATTTTTGTGTGTGGAATATTTGAGAAGCTTTAAGCAAATGAAGAAAATTTCAAGGCAAGAGGATTTTCCTCTTGTATCAAGATTACAAGGCATAATGTGATTATAGGAATGAATATATAAACTTTAATTACTAGAATATCGAAGCTTGATGTATTTGTTTTTTGTACTTATTTGTCAAGATCATAAGTATGACAAGGCCCCTCTATTTATATAGTTGAATATCACTTTCATTAACTTGTCTTTCAAATATTTTAATTTTTTTTATGGTCAAAAGTTGAATGTTTATTATTATAACTTTGTTTCAATTTGCATTATCAATAAAAAAATAGGAAAAAGAATGTCTTAAATTTTTTCTATTTTTCATTGGTAGCCTTATGCTAAACTTGCTCCTATTATGATATTTTTTCTTTGTATTTGTAATTTTGTTTTAAGAATATATTTGATTGAAGGGTGTATTTTTTGCCCATATACTAGTACAAATTAAAGTTGAAGGAAAATAAAATTTGGAAACTAAAAATAATCATAAAACTATTTATTTGTAAACAACATATTGCAAAAGTGTACAAATTCATCGGTCATCCACTTTCTTGACTGTTTGTAAATTACAATTCGTGTTTCTGGACAACACTTCATACCCAAATACAACACTAAAACCTCCGATTGCACAAGCATTGGTCAATAAAACGTACCCGAAAGGCACAAATGAAGTTAGATTTTTCGTAGTTCATGTGTCACTCTTGAAATTCTCACATTAATAGCCCATTTCTGGACTTTCTGGGCTATCTTTCAAGTGTGCCATTAACCATTTAACGGTATGTAACCAAACATTCGAAAATTTATTTTTAATCAATAATGCAATTAAGAAGTTCAATACACATGTTTGAATTATCCATTTGAATGGATCATTAGCTAAAGCAAGTTCTCAGGTTCTTGTCGCATCAATATCTTTAAAGAAAAAATTGAAATTTAAATGCTTGGTATGCAACTCTACTAATATCTGCAAACATAACTTAAAACAAAAATAGAAATACTCAGCTTCATTTACAGACACCTCTAACTCAAAATTCTCTAACTGCTCTCGTAATAGTAAAAGATATTGGAATCAGCATATCATAATAGCTCTCACGGGTGAGACAATAAAAACTTTGGCAACATAGATAGAAATAAGAAATGAGTTTATCTCTATCAATATTATTTACAGAAATATTCTCAACAAATGTCACTAGCATACATAAAAAACTTAAGAGTTCTCACACAACATATATGATAAAAACTGAATCCAATCACACAATCAGAATTGAATTATAGAAGAAGAATGAATTTCAATTTCATATCAATCAAGTACCCCTACATTGTATTACTCTCTACATATATATACATGTACTAAGTGACTTATTTACAAGAAAACCATCTTCTAGAATCTTCTCAGTATCCTAACTAACTATCATATCAACTTAACTAACTATAAATTAACTATCACATGTAAACTAATCAAGTTAATTATTTACAATCTCTTTGTTATAATCTCTAATAGCCCCCTTCAAGCTAGAAGATATGAAGATGTTCTTTATTCCTAGATTGGAAATAAGATGAAAATGTTGATGTTTACTTAGACTTTTAGTTAGAATATCAACTGGCTGTTCAGATGAGCATAAGTAGTGTAAGACCACAAGACCTTTTGACACCTTTTCTCTAATAAAAGGACAGTCAATGTCGATATGTTTTCTTCTCTCATGGAACACATGATTAGCAGCAATCTGAATAGCTGCTTTGCTATCACAATGCAATGAAACAGGTAACACCAATGGTACATCTAGTGTTTTGAACAAACCAATAATCCAAGCAATCTCTGCAACAGTGGAGGCAGACTCCTATACTCTGCTTCAGCAGAGCTTTTGGAAATAGTAGACTGCTTCTTGGATTTCCAATATATTGGAGAATCTCCATACTTGATTAGGTAACCAGTAATTGATCTTCTAGAATTAATACATGATCCCCAATCAGCATCACAATATGCCTGAAGAGACTCTGTGGATTGTGTTGTCAATAATATCCCAAATCCAGGTGATTGCTTAACATATTTCACTACTCTAATGGCAGCATTCATATGAGAAACTTTAGGAGCCTGCATGAATTGGCTGAGACTTTGAACTGCATAAGATAAATCTGGCCTGGTGAGAATAAGATATAATCTCCCAACTAATCTCTGATATTCACCAGGATCTAATAAAAGTGAATCAGATTCATCTCCAAATAAATCATCAAACTCAAGTGTAGTAAGTTTCAGATTTGATTCTACAGGTGTAGACATAGGTTTAGAACTCCCTAACCCCAAATCTGAAATCAATTCTAATGCATATTTCCTTTGGTGCATCAATATTCCTTCAGAATTTCAGAATATTCAATACCTAGAAAAAATCTAAGATCTCCTAGATATTTTATTCTAAAATAATCCTTTAGAACCTGCTTGGTCTCTTCTATCATTTGACAACTGCTTCCTGTCACAAGCAGGTCATCCATGTATATAAGAACAACTACAATGTCATTTCCAACTTTCTTGGTCATGAGGGAATAATCAAGATGACTTTGTTGGAAACCTGCTTCAATCAAGGCATTCATCAGCTTAACATTCCATTGTCTTGAGGCTTGCTTAAGCCCGTAAAGTGATTTAATCAGTTTGCATACCAAACCTTGACCTTTCCTTTTCTCATCAGATTGGAATCCCTGAGGTAATTGCATATATACTTCTTCCATCAGATCTCTTTGTATAAAAGCATTATAAATATCAATTTGTTGAACATTCCATCCTTTTGCTGCTGCTACAGATAACACTGTTCTTACTGTCACCATTTTAACAACAGGTGAGAAAGTTTCATGGTAATCTAATCCTTCTTTTTGATTATAACCCTTATCTACCAATCTAGCCTTAAACCTCTCAACTTGTCTATCATCTTTGTACTTGATCTTATACACCCATTTGCAACCAATGGCCTTTTTACCAATAGGTAATTCAACAAGTTCACATGTCTTATTATCTTCAAGTGCCTTAATCTCCTCCTTCATAGCTTGAACCCACCTTTCATCTTTCATAGCCTGATGATAAGTACTTGGTTCTTTGTCCATTGAAGAGTTGACAATATAACATCCATATGAAATTGAGAGACCGCTATAATCAGTGTTATCTGAGATAGAGTACAAGCAATTTGACTGTTTAGATTTCCCTGTTTTTGTTAGGACAAAATCTTGCTGCCATAATGGAGCCTTGCTTGATCTGCTGGACCTCCTAACATGATGATCCATGTGAGTTCCTCCTCCTCCTGGCATATTACGATGGGGAGCAATCTCTGTTGTAGGCAAAAGAACTATGTAATCTTCAATGTCATTGGCATTCGTAGAAACTTCTGCTTGGCTATCTTCCATAGATGAAGGTGCAGACTCCAATTCTAGGTCATCATTTATATGACTTGAACGAATAGTACCAGTATCATGCAAAAAATCTGTAGAGTGAGACTGAAAAGGAAAAATATTTTCAGTAAAGATCACATCTCGACTAATGAAAAAAATATGATGTTCAAGATCATACAATTTGTAGCCTTTTTGCGTAGTTCCATATCCCATCAAGACAAATTTAGTTTCCCTTGGACCAAACTTATCTATCTTTTGTGTATTTGTAGCATAACATAGACACCCTATGATTCTCATGTATGATATATTAGGTTGTTTTCCAAATAGCACATCAAAAGGAGATACATTATGCAAAACAGACAAAGGCATTCTATTGATAATGTGCACAACTGTTGATATGCACTCTCCCCAGAATTTAATTGGTATATGTCCTTGGAATCTGATTGCTCTAGCCGTTTCCAAGATGTGTCTATGTTTTCTTTCCACCACACCATTCTGTTGAGGTGTGTGTGGACAAGAACTCTGATGTATGATTCCATGATTAGTGAACAAATCAGCACATTGAGAATTGAAGAACTGCCCTCCATTATCTGATCTCACAGCCTTAATTTGTACATCAAATTGAGTTTTAACCATCAAAGTAAATTTTCCAAGTATAGTGGAAACATTTGACTTGAAATGAAGTAAAAATACCCAAGTCCATCTGGAATGATCATCAACTAATATAAGGAAAAATCTCATGTTATTATGTGTAGAAACTTTATAAGGTCCCCAACATATATGTGAATTAGATTAAAACATCTAGTACTTTTATTGCTACAAGCATGAAAGGGAAGACTAATTTGTCTTTCTAATGGATATACATCACAATGATTCATGACAGAACTCTTATTGAGCTAAAGCATACTGATTTTTTTTATCACATTCAAAGGCACATGGCCTAATCTCTGATGCCACAATACTTCATCCTCATATCCTCTTGCTGCAACAAATGACCTTGATCTATGTGAAATTGATCTTGATTATTCAACATGTACAATCCATCTTCCTCTTCACCAATCTCCTTCACTTTCCCAGTGAAGAGATCCTGAATGAAGAAGAAATCAAGATAAAATACAACACAAAAATTCAATTCCTTAGTCAGTTTGGACAATGTAAGAGATTGAACTTAAAATCAGGCGCACATAAAACATCTTTTATAACATCACCTCTTTTAAGTTGAGAACTGCCTGAATTGGTAATGAGCGTTGTGTCACCATTAGCTAATTAAACCCTTCCTGGATTATTCACTGCAATATTACAAAGGGAAGTACCTGCAAAATGTACCTGCCGTATTTACATTAACCTCATTCATGTTGTGTTTGTTCAGCATTTGTAATATTTGATTATATTGATTTGGCGTGAAGTAAGAAACAAGTCCAACTCCTCAACTTGTGCTTGGTCCAAATTGAGGCTGCTGATGATTGTATAATTCAACTCCAGATCTCTGTTGCCCTTGCATTTGTAAAAACCCTTCTGCTTGTGTTCCACTTGAAGCTTGTACAATATTAACCCTTTTCTTTCCTTTCCAATCCGAAGGATATCCAATTAACTAAAAGCATATATCCTTTGTATGACCCTCCATATTACAATGACTACAGTGTTTTAACTTGTTACAATCCTCTCTAGTGTGTCCTTTCATCTCACAATGATCACAATAAGAACTACCTCCTCTTTGTTGACGACTAGATCCATAACCTCTACCTCCTTTTCCTCTAGAACCTGATCCTCCAAATTTATAACCACCTAATTTATTTGTCAATAATACAGTAGGATCAGTGATGCCTCCACCGGAATATTCACCACTTAGTGCACGTTGACTCTCATCATGTACAATCATGGCATAACATTGATTGACACTGGGTTGGGGATTTAGCATAAGTATCTGACTTCTAGCTTGTGCATAGCTTTCATTCAAACCCATAAGAAATTGCAATAACTTTTGCCTACCCATATTATAAGAATAATCCTTCGATCTAACACATTCGCATGATGGAGGAGGAACTATTGAATCGAATTCATCCCAAAGATCTTTCAACTTTGAATAATAGACTGAAACATGGGAAATACCTTGAGTATGTGTAACTATGGCTTTGTGAAGATGAAAAATTCTGGACATATTGACTTTATCAAATCGTTCCTGCAAATCCAACCAAAATTGAGCTGCATTTGATCGAAAAAGAATTCCACTGACCAAATCCTTGCTAACATTGCTCATAATCCATGATAGGACCATTGCATTAAATCTGTCCCATTGCTTCTTCTTAATTTCAGTCGTGAAACCATCTCTTTTGATGCTGCCGTCGATGAATCCTAATTTGTTCTTCATGAGCAAATTCAATTGCATCGCCCGACTCCATAATATATAATTCTCCATTCCAGTAAGCTGTATCCCAATTTGCACTGCCGTTGGTACATCGGAAGAACCCAGAAACAAAGGATGATCATGATCTATCTTCTTCGCCATTGATCATCAACTTTGAGCTATAAAATTGAATGTAGAATAATGATTCTCAATCCCTAAGCTCTGATACCATGATAAAAACTGAATCCAATTACACAATCAGAATTGAATTATAGAAGAAGAATGAATTTCAATTTCATATCAATCAAGTACCCCTACATTGTATTACTCTCTACATATATATACATGTACTAAGTGACTTATTTACAAGAAAATCATCTTCTAGAATTTTCTCAATATCCTAACTAACTATCATATCAACTTAATTAACTATCAACTAACTATCACATGTAAACTAATAAAGTTAATTATTTACAATCTCTTTGTTATAATCTCTAAAAATATACACATAGAGCTATTAATAACTTACACAAATAGACACAAACATACTAAATTAGTAACGGTTGAGCAAATGTAGCAATAAAACGTTTAGTCACAGTTTCATAAATGATATGTAGTTGCAGAAATCACACATAGAAGAATGAAAAGAAACGAAAATAAGAAAATTTACAAACATACGAAAGTCAAAATGGGAAAATTTTAAAATGACTCTAGAATGCAGGGCCAAAAGTTCTTGCAAAAAAATATTAGTATATAGCTTAATAGAAAAAAAAATGATTAATAAGTCAATCATTGTTTCACACTTCTTGGTAAGATAAAGAGAATGATAAACTTGATATAGGATATAATCAAATTTCATCTTTAAGTGATTTAATTTTCTACAGTGCACAATTTTTTTGATTGCAAAGGAAAATATAGAAAGGAGTTTATAAGCTCGTAAAATCTTTCAAACTAGGTTGCTCTGCTTGGGATTTTCCCTGTGATGGAAGATTAGTTAACTTCACTTTACATTAGTGTAGTTAAATCATATACTACTTTAATTGATTCCAATAAAAATATAACATAGGCAAACTTGGTCGGGAAATATATTATCAAACACTTTGGGTGCATAATCAACCTGGCCCACAAATGAGCAAAATATAAAATAAAGCGCTATGAGAAAATTATAGTAAAACATCCCTACCCCACACGTAGCATAAACATTAGTTTTTGAAAAAAACTCGAAAAAAAAAGAAAAGCAAAAATCAGATTGGCTATCAACAAATTTGAAACGAATTCTCAAGCAAAACATAAATTTACTATTTCATACGGCGAAATGAAAGTTTCGAATAGAACTTCAAAAGGCAAAGAAAGAGAAGACCAACAAAAAACAGATAAAAGTGATTTAGGCGGAGCATACCTGAATTCAATGGAGTGGGACTCAAACAACTGCTTCAGGTAGAGAAATGAGAAAATTGAAATTGGTTTTGTTTTCGGAGACACTTCTACCAAGACACACGAGAAGACGAGGTAAGAATGCCTTTTAAGTTTTCAATTAAAAAAATGGACAAGTGTGTCCTTTTTATCTCTCCTCTATGTTCTTGTTTTTGACATTAATAAAAATGATTCAAACTACTAATTTTAAAACCTAAGGATTCAAAATAATATTTTTAAAATTTTGATAAAATTCCAACTTAAAGGAACTTTTAAGAGTTCTTCATTAATAGAATAGAACTAAATGGTTGGGACGGCGAAGGAACGACAAGTTGGAAAAAAAATTTAATTTTATATAATTTTAAAATTATTATTTAATAATGTCTATTGTGTTTTCTTCCTAGTAAATTTTCTTCTCTTTTCTATTTCAAAATATGTCACGACCCAAACCGGGTTGCAACTGGCACCCACACTTACCCTCCTATGTGAGCGAACCAACCAATCTAACCTTAACATTTCAATATAATATAAACATAAAGTAATGCGGAAGACTTAAACTCATTAATAAAATCAATAACTACTATTATCTCCAAAATCTGGAAGTCATCATCACAAGAACATCTACTTTAAACTACTAATTCTAAGAGTTTCTAAGAAGCTAAAAATACATAAGAAGCTAGTCCATGCCGGAAGTTCAAGGCATCAAGACATGAAGGAGAAGATCCAGTCCAAGCTAGAAGCGTTAGCTCACCCTGAAGATCCGGTGTGACGAAGACTGGCTTGAGTTACTGTTGAGTCGAAGATGACGGCACGTTTGCTGCACTCCACAAATAACAAGAAGAAAAACATAAAAGTAGGGGTCAGTACAAAACACGGGTACTGAGTAGATATCATCGGCCAACTCAAAATAGGGAATAGTATATATCAAATATTATCGTAAATCAACTATAAAACTCAACATGTAGCAACAACAAGTACTATAATCATCAATAAGTACCATCAAGTTCATCCATGAGGGCTCAAGCCCTAATACCATACTCATTTGGGAATCATGTTCATTAGATTGAGTATATTAACATCTTTCAAGATTCATTATCTTTATTTCTCTTGTGTCGGTACGTGACACTCCGCTCCCTCATATTCATTATTCCTCTTGTGTCGGTACGTGACACTCCGATCCCCTAAATCTACGTGTCGGTTCGTGACACCCGATCCCCTGAATCTACGTGTCGGTTCGTGACACCCGATCCCTTAATTCTACGTGTCGGTTCGTGGCACCCGATCCCCTGAATCTACGTGTCGGTTTGTGACACCCGATCCCCTAATTCTACGTGTCGGTTCGTGACACCCGATCCCCTAATTTTACGTGTCGGTTCGTGACACCCGATCCCCTAATCTCCTTCCATCAATTCATCAAGCCTTCTCCCTTACCAAGGCATCATCATTAAAAGAGATTAGGTTTTTATCAAGATTTGGGATTCAATAACTTCATCATGCTTAATATAATCACAATTATATAATCACGTTCATGCATGCATACAATTAAGCACATAGCAGGGTTTACAATACTACCAATACATATCATTCTCTATTAAGAGTTTACTATGAAAGCATGAAAACCATAACCTACCTCCACCGAAGAATTGAATCAAGCAAGAATTTTCCCAAAGCTTTGTTTCTCCCTTCTCGTTCGATTCCCTCTCTCTCTCCTGTTCTTTCTATTTTCTTTATTCAAACCCTCTTTCTTTTACCCTAATTAGTATATAATTAAGAATAAAAGATGACAATAATACCCCACTAATTAACTTAGGGTTACCTCTTTTAACCCCCCCAGAATTTGAGTTATTAATATAAACCCACAAAACCTATAATTAAGGAAGGAATAGTCCAAAAACGTCCCTTAAAACGTGTAAGGAAATCTGATTCTGCCTGGGATTTGCGCAGCCTGTGACGGGCCATCGCGCCTGCGACGGTCCGTCCTGCTATCCGTCGCATAGTTTTGAAACTTAATTTGGGTGAATGGCCTGTGACGGTCCGTCACACCTTTGACAGTCCGTCCTGCCACTCCGTTACGAAGTTCAGAGAGTCGATTTTTAGTACCCAATTTCAGATTTTCTAAGTGTTTTAAAACGAGACCCTGCGACGGTCCTCGTGCCCATGACGGTCCGTCGTTGGGTTCGTCGCCTCAGCCTGTTTTTCCAGAAATAAAATCCGCTGCTCAAACGACTAAACAGGTCGTTACAATAGATACCAATTTACCCATCGTTCGTCCCCAAACGATCACAAGAAGAAAAACAAGGGCGAGAAGGAGTACCTGAATCTTTAAACAGATGTGGGTATCTTTCTTGCATATCGGCCTCCTTCTCCCAAGTGGCTTCTTCAACCGGTCGATTCTTCCATTGCACCTTGATGGATGCAATCTCTCTTGACCTCAACTTGCGAACTTCTCTATCTAAGATAGCAACAGGCTCCTCCTCATAAGACAAGTTCTCATCAAGCAAGACTGAATCCCAACGGATAATGTAATTTCCATCCCCATGATATCTTTTCAACATAGACACATGGAATACCGGATGCACTCCGGACAGCCCTGGAGGCAAGGCTAACTCATAAGCCACCTCTCCTACTCGCTTAAGTACTTCAAATGGTCCAATGTACCTTGGACTTAGCTTACCCCTTTTACCAAACCGCATCACCTCTTTCATTGGTGAAACTTTCAACAAGACTTGTTCACCTTCCATGAACTCTAAGTCTCTAACCTTTCGATCTGCATATTCTTTTTGTCTACTTTGCGCCGCTAGAAGCTTTTCTTGAATAGACTTCACTTTTTCCATCGAATCCCTCAAAAGGTCAGTACCCCAAGGCCTAACCTCAAATGCGTCAAACCAACCAATGGGAGACCTACATCTCCTACCATACAATGCTTCGAATGGAGCCATGTCAATACTTGAGTGATAGCTATTATTGTATGAAAACTCCGCTAAGGGTAGGAAGCTATCCCAATGGCCACCAAATTCTATCACGCACGCACGAAGCATATCTTCCAACACTTGAATCGTTCGCTCAGACTGACCATCGGTCTGAGGATGGAACGCAGTACTAAGGTCCAACCTAGTACCCAATTCCGCATGCAATGTTTTCCAAAACTTAGAAGTAAACTGCGTACCTCTATCTGATATGATGGATAGTGGAACCCCATGAAATTGCACCACTTCCGAGATGTAAAGTTTGGCTAACTTTTCTGCATTGTAAGTCACCTTGACCGGAATGAAATGAGCAGATTTAGTTAACCTATCAACAATCACCCAAATGGAGTCATACTTACCCATTGTCTTTGGAAGACCAACCACAAAATCCATTGCAATTCTTTCCCACTTCCATTCCGGAATGGGCATTCTCTGAAATGTTCCTCCGGGCCTTTGGTGTTCATACTTTACATGTTGACAGTTTGGACATCTGGCAATAAAATCCACAATGTCACGCTTCATTCTACTCCACCAAAAGTGTTGCTTTAGGTCACGATACATCTTGGTTGCGCCCGGATGTATAGAATACCTTGAACTATGAGCCTCTGTCAGAATAGTGTTGATCAAACCATCGACGCGGGGTACACATACCCTTCCCTTGATCCTCAAAACACCTTCCTCATCAATTTGTGCTTCCTTAGCCTCTCCTCGCAATACCTTATCTTGAATTCTGCGCAGTTTCTCATCATCAGACTGTCTTCCCTTAATCTTGTCAAGAAAGGA